AAAATTTCATATGGTACACACGAGGTGTCATGCACACCAGAAAATTAAAACAGCTGTCACGGTTAAACTTCATATTATTTCAGGTCCGAAAAATTAGTAAATATTCTTCAGACGTTCTAAAGTAAAGGTGAACAGCGTTTTTCTTAAAAATATCACTGTTATGTAGTTAAAAAAATCCGGAAAGTTCTCGCTTCGTGACTTGTTCAATACTTCGAACGCGGCTCGAGTCCGTCCCGACCTTCTGTCAAAGCCTCGTGCTGCGGACTCTCTCGCGGACCCTCTCTCTCGCACCGTCACCTCTCATTGGCCAGTGTTTTTCGTTAATAACTCGTAAACAAAGCCGCGGATTGCATTTTCGCAAAGGAAAAAGTTACTTCAAATGACCTCAGCTACCCCTCATTTTCGGCTGTTAAAATAATTGTGGGACACCCTGTATACATATACACAGGGTGTCCCAAAATTATGGTAAAAAATACATGGACCAATCATTCGGAGAGCGAGTGCGACCGGCGCTCCGCCCTCGCCGACCGTATGTCGCGGCGGCAGGGATCGCGAGGGCGGGGCCTCAGCTGCGCACGATCTCTCATTGGTCAGAGTTTTTCGTTAATAACTCGTAAACAAAGCCGCGGATTGCATTTTTGTTAAGGAAAAAGTTGCTTCAAATGACCTCAGAAATCTTCACAAAATTCATCAACAATATTATGTTACTGATAATAAAAGCTTGTGTATATAGCTGTTTATAGCATAAAGTAATTAAATAAAAATTGCAAGGTAACAGTAAAATCTTATAAAATTCACATAAATTGTATACAATTGTACACATACAAGATGTAAAAACTAATAATAAAGAAATTTTCTATAAAATTGTAGAAAATTCTGCGTAGCTCTTATAAAATTCTATATAATTTTACGTAATAATTACGTAATAATAATTTCCATAAAATGCTACACAAAATTTAACGTAACTCTTACAAATTTTTACATAATTTTACACAACGATATTTATAAAATTATACTTATTTTAGTCACTTATAGTCACTTATTTTCTCCCGCCATTCCAAGTACTAAAAAAGAATTTTTTTAAATCATCGTGCAATGAACTAGACCTTTCAACATTAAAACAAGAATTCAAGCGATTTGGTTCAGTTTGAAAAAAGTAATTGCGTTTTAATTTGTACGAACACATTTCTCCAGGGGTCGTACTATGTTTCTCGGGTCACGAGAAACGAGAAAAGTCGATTTGGTTCCCAGGATTCGCGGGACTAGAAGAAAGGTGAACGAATCGTTGAACGTGAAATCATGACTGTCACGTATACGCGCGCATGGTTTGTCGCGGACTGTAAGAACCAGGATGCCCGGTAGTTGTGGCGTGCGGCACTGTATCAATTTTACGTAAAAGAAACTCTTACGGGGCAGCATCGGACGCGATTCCACTCACGTTCCGTATTAGAAGAGCTTTTTGTAGCGTGACAACGTTTCGTAATGATCCAGATCGATTGTTCCGTGATACAGTTGCGTGATAGTGGCTCTGAATAATTGCGCAATTTGTTTTCCAAAACGAGCTATTGTTAATAATATAAACTTTTCGTTAGAAACGAAAATTTTGTTCGAAATCTCTAAAATGTCAGCACTCGGTGAAAGATCAGCTTTTAAAGACAGCTTTAAAATTTCAGAGCACTCGAATCGTTCAAAATCTCCAGGCTCTGAAATATTATTTTGAAATCTCAGCATTGCAGAAGTTCAATAAAATCTAAAAGCTCAATGCACTCTAGAATTGCACTGAACATCTCCGAACACTATAAGTTCAATACGTATTAAAATTTAAATCAAAATCTGCGCGCTCGCAATGTTCAATGCACTCTAAATTTTAATTGAACATCTTCGAACACTATAAGTTCAATACACTTTAAAGTTTCACTCGAAATCTGCACGCTCGCAATGTTCAATGCACTCTAAAATTTGATTCAACATTTCTGAACTCCAAAAGTTTAATACACATTAATATTTAAATCAGAATAGGTACACTGAAAATACACTGCACTTTCAAATTTGATTGAACATCTCTGATCTTCACACTCACAATGTTTATTGCATTCTAAAGTTTCATACACTCTAAAATTTCATTCAAAATCTGCACACTCACAATGTTCGGTGCACTCTAAAATTTGATTGAACATCTCCGAGCTCCAAAAGTCCAATACACTTCGAAGTTCATTTCAAAGTCTGTAAACTCTAAAAGTTTAATGCACTCAAAAATTTACTTCGAAATCTTTGCACTCTAAAAAAAGTTCAGTGCATCGTTATCACTGAAAACATTCACAGTCTGAAAATTCAGTGAACTCTAAAATATAATTGAGCATCTTAGAACTCTAAAAATTCAGAGCACTTTAAAAATTGATTGAACATTTCCGAACTCCGAAAGTTCAACACACTTTAAAATTTAATTCAAAATCCCTACACTTGCAAATTACAATGCACTTTATTTCGAAATCTCTACACTCTAAAAATTCAGTATACCCGCATATTTCTCTTATACCATTTCAAATCTCTGCACTCTACAATTTCAGGGCACTCGAAAATTTCGTTTAAAATCTCGGTATTGTGAATGTTCATTATACTTCCTAAGATTTCGGTACACTCGAACATTTAATTTCGAGTAAACCACACAGGCCAGGCTACGAATCTCGAAACATGTTGAAGACTCTTGGAGACTGTACCACCGGCTCAAGGTTAATTAATAGAGTACACGATCGAGATGAAAGGACGAGTTTAGTTTCGACTTTCGCTGCTCCGAATCTCCCGCAATCGAAATCGCGTCACTGCGATGGAATTGGGGAACTGCTGCGTCACGGGCCCTCTGACGCACGGCCACGTATTCCTTGTATAAAGGAAGAGCAACAGGATGTAAGATCGAGAAGTTCCCGGTGACGCACGGTGGGCTAGGAATCTGCTTTTATTTTATATTTAAAATGAACTTGGCGCTATACTTCAAGGTCTAAGGTTGAAGCACCGATCATGGTACAGGTCATTATGAAATCAAATATGCATATTACCATTTCAAAAATTAAGGTGACCTTTTTTCATGAAAAAGAAAATGTTCTTCATGTAATGTTTTTTAGCGAAATTTGTACAAGAGAGATTGTATAAATCTTTAAAAATCTTTCAGTCGATTGTAACGATTTGAAGTTAGAAACTATTTTTATTGTAATGTAACGATTAATTTCATTAGAAATATAAGAATTGTTTTTGTTACAATGCAGGAATTATTTTTACTGCAATGCTAGAATAATTTCTATTATAACGCAAGGATTATTTTTATTATAATGCAATAATTATCTTGATTGTAATGCAAGAATTGTTTGCATTATAATTATTAGAAATTATTATTTTTATTAGAAATGCGAGAATTATTTGTATCAGAAAAGTACGAATTATTCTCATTATAATGTAAGAATTACTTTTATTATAATGCAAGAATTATTTTCGTTATAATGCAAGAATTATTCTTATTATAATGGAAATATTTTATAATCGATGGAATACGGACGATCGATAGTCGCATCTCTCGGAGGCTGTCACAGACACAACGTCCTGAAAGCGACGGGATCGTCGACGGAACGTGGTGTTAGCGTGACCACGCGTAGGTTGAGGTCGAGGATTTCTAGAGCCGAAGTTAGCGCGGTACTTTCTCCGGCGAGCTGCGTTCGTTTCCTTTTTCCATTCTCGTCACGGCTTCTTCTGCGAGAGCACCGCTGCGCGCTGTCAAGACAGCGATTCGTCTTGAGCATTCGTTTCGAGCGTGCGGACCTGGAAATTGCTGAATCGACTCCGTTTCCAGCCGTTCTCGAGGAAGTACACTTCGCCGCATAAACTCTTTAGCGGCTAATGTATTTATTATTTTGTTATACTTATGCGTGGCGGCGCATTGAAATAAATCATACGATGTCAAGAAATATATATAACATTTTTATATTTTTATATAAAAAGTTTTTAATATAATATTTATTTTCCAATTACAATAATAATTTGAATATTTAATCATAACAATAATTTTAATATTGATCTCTAGTAATTATTTTAACATTCAACGTCGTATTGACAAACTAAATTAGATTGTTAGATTGTAATTAAACGCCTCGTTCTGTTCACATTCATTCTAACTTATTTTAATTGAATTAACTAACAAACTGTGCCGGGATGAACGAAATTCGTTTGCGAACAACCGCAAATAGTAATCGCGGCCATACGACAGCGAAATGCGAGGCGAGCATAATGAATAGAAAACGAAGCAATTTTCTTATCCCCGGATCTGCCGTAAAATATTCCTAAGAAAACGGCGAAGTGAAAACCGCAGTAATAACCTAGAACTTATTGGAATTAATGCTGTACGCAAAAAAAGAAGAGGAAGTAGTTGCAACCGCGATCGCTATTCAATCGCCGAGGCGCGCGGCATGAGCCTGATCTCGAGAACCACGGTATATACAATATCTGTATACATAGAGAAAGAGAGAGAGGGAGAATAGAAAGTAACGAACCGAAAAAGGAATAACACACTCGGTGTAATAATAAGGCCGGATGGCTGTGGTGTCACAATTAAACCACCGTGGATAAATAATACTTTCACTGACACGTCGTCGCACAGTGGGCCAGTTTCATGGAGTAGGTGGAATTCATTCCGAAGAATAGAAGTTTCTGAAACAGAAAGTTTGTTGAACAGAAATGATTTTAGTCT